CTGGTCGTGTGGGCCTTGTTTTGCATAGTTGTTGTGCAAATGGCTTTACTAGCTTGGCATTTTAGGCCTCTAAACATGTTTTTCTTGGAATGATTGCACGTCGTAGTGTCTTTTAACATGTAATTTCGGTGTTTATAGCTCTGTCCCATGCTCATTTGCTTCACTCATTCATTGCTTTTTTTTTTTTTTTAGAGTTGTTCTTGAGTCTTGTTTGCAAGCTAACATGTGAGCATGTTTTTCTAGCATTTTGTACCTCAATCTCGGCATGATTTAGTCACTGTTTTTACTGGTTTTAGCTCTATTTTGAGCTGGTTTCGCCCTTTGAGGCTTGTATTGTGTGGTTGTGGTGAAACCTCTTTCACTAGCTTAATGTGTTGGGCTTTTTTAGCATGAATCGCATGAGTTGCTTGCGTGATTTAGTGTCATTTTGCACTCCATTTTAGCACTGAAATCTCTACAATCTCCCTCTATTCTTCACTCTTTCATTTGTTTTGAAAGTGGTTTTTAACCCCTTGTTGGCTTGAGTGTGGAATTGAGACCCTCATGCCTAATGGTTTAATTCCTTCGAGAGTTCATTAAATGGATTCGCAAAAGATTGAGGCAATTTTAAATTGGCCTACACTGACTAATGTAATAGAAGTCCAGAGATTTATGGGATTGGTAGGGTATTACAGAAGATTTATGAAAGACTTCTCAAAAATAGTCATACCGCTCACTTAACTTACTTAGAAAGGAGAGCCATTTGAATGGACAGGTCAAAGAGAGTCTGCATTTCAAGAATGGAAAACAAGGTTAACTACAACATCGATCTTGACATTGCCATCAAGTACGGAGAGTTTTGTAATTTATAATGATGCTTCATATAAAGGTTTGGGTTGGGTGCTTATGCAGAATGGAAAGGTGATTACTTATGCATCTCGACAACTAAAACCACATGAAAAGAATTACCCGACTCATGATTAAGTTAACCACTTGTAGAGACCCCATTTTTGACCGACCTCAAGACTCGGACGTCATCGTTTTTGCACTCGATGATTGTGCTTGTTGGTGTTTGTTTTGAGCGCCCGAAGTTCTCGGCAGAACGCCTTGTCTTTGAGCCTCTAAACCCATTTTTGTTTTGTGCTTGTTTTTTTGGGCCAAACCTTGCAATCCAGAAACCAATTGCAACAACGAAGGGACCGCTCGAGCGTTAAAACTTCCGCTCGAGCGTGAAGGCCAAAATCTGGGCATCACCTATCGGCATCTAAAATCAACCAACCTGTAACAGACCCGTCCAACACAACCTATACTTCAAATACAAAGAGATTAAAGGACAACAACAACCAATAAGTAATGACAGGATCCACGGAACCTAAGTCCGGATACAAGAATTTAAAGAGAAAAGACCGGGGTCGCTATAGGCATTCAGGGAGTCAGTAGGCATTCTCAGAGCTGAGAATCAAACTCGGGTTGTTGTTGCGGATGTAGGACCTTCCTTTTTGAAGAAGGAGTTCTTCCGGTCTAATCCGGATGAATTTGTGGGTGATCCTAAAGAGCCACTTAAGGCAAATGAATGGCTCGAACAGATAACGAAGACGTTTGAGATGCTTGGCATCGAAGACGAGGGGTTGAAAGTGACCTTGACATCTTTCCAGCTGAAGGGGGATGCGGGTCTGTGGTGGAAGTTCACTAAAGGTCGTATACGAGGTACATGGGAGGCTTTTGTGAATGCTTTCCAGGAGAGGTTCTTATCTCCAGCAGTTAGGGAGAAGCTGAGAGACCAGTTCTGCCAGCTTAAGCAGTCGAGTTCTTCAGTGGCCGAGTTTGAGGCTGCATTTACTAGCTTGTCCAGGTTTGCACCTGAGTTGGTGGCGTCTGAGGAACGCCGTTGTATCGAGTTTGAGAAGAAGTTGAGGCGTGGTCTCAAGCTGCGAGTTGGGGGAACTATGATTCGGAATTATGGGCGTATGGTTGATGCTGCGGCCCACATGGAGATCATGATGCAGGAGGAGGAGGAAGGACAGAAGGGCTCCAAGAGAAGTCAGGATGGTCAGAGTGATGGTAGGAGACAGAAGGGTTTTAATCCTCAGCAGTCTCAGGGTAGCTTTTCTAGATCGACTTTTCCTGTGCCGAGTGCTAGTTCGGGGAAAGGCAGTCAGGGAGACATTACCTGTTTCAAGTGTGGCCAGCTGGGCCACAAGTCTCCAGTTTGTCCTCAGAGGGGAGGAGTGCAGAGAGCAGCATCATCTTCGGCTCGATCTCAGAGCCAGAGTCAAGGTAGAGGCTAGCCACTCTCGTGTTATCAGTGTGGTCAGCCAGGGCATATGAAGAGGTATTGCCCACAGTTGAGTGGCACACCTGGTGCATCTGGTTTGAGGCAAATTCAGAGTCATCAGCCAGCACAGTCGGGTCAGGCCTCGAGGGCCAACCAGGGGGCTTCATCGTCCCAGTCGGTGCAGCAATCTTATGCTCCTAGGGGTGAGCAGGTTGATCAGAGGTCGTCTGGGCGCGTGTACGCTGTTACCGCGCAGGATCTTGTGCCGGCACCATCAGTTGTGAGAGGTACCTTCTTGTTTTGCAACTCGGTTGCTAATGTTTTGATTGATACGGGTGCATCTCATTCCTTTGTGTCTGCTGCATTTGCATCTGTTTTGGAGTTGGAGTTAGCACAGTTAGCATCTCCTATTTGTGTAGTGTCACCTCTTGGGGGTGAGTTGATCTTGAAACAAGGTGTTAGGGGTTGTGATATAGAGGTCGACTATACAAAGTCTCAAAGCACCACCTTTCTTTTTAACAAATAGGGTCGGTGCTCCCCATGGCGAAACACTAGGACGTATATAGCCCTTATCTAGCAACTCCTAGAGTTGGATCTTCAACTCAACTAACTCGGCTGGGGCAAAACGATAAGGTGCCATAGAAATCGGCGCCGTGCCGGGCACTAAGTCAATAGAGAACTCAATCTCTCTGTGAGGTGGCAAACCAACAAGGTCCTCGGGAAAGACATCCAAGTACTCACAAACCACCCGTGGCAACACAATCTGGGTCTCATCACACTCACTACTCAAAAAGCTAGCAAGTAGACCACTAAGCTCACTCCGCCCTCGCGAATCATACCCCGATGGCAAAACACTACCAACCCGGTCCCCCAGAAAATGAAAACATTCCCCGCTCACGATACAACAAGTGACCCTCTGGCGGTAGCAATCAATAACTGTCCACGTTATTTCCTTATATTCCAATAAGTCCTATGGGTGACATAGTTACCAAAATACCCCTAATAATATTTACACTTACAATATGAATATTCCGTGATGTCAATATTCACACCGTCAATGTGAATATTCACGCCATCAGTGTGAATGTTAACATGTCAATACGAATGTTCACATTGATGTGAATATTCACACCGTCAATGTGAATGCTCATACCATCAGTGTGAATGTTCACATTGTCAATGTGAACATTCACACGTCAATGTGAAAATTCACATTGTAAAATATAAATGTCTACATCACCAATTTGATAACCGTTCAAA